AATATTCATGTATTGTTATAATTATTGTTATTCAGGCAAGTTTTATCCCTTAAATAACGAGTATTAGACATAAGCTGGTGTGGGTGTGGGTGTGCATGAGTGTGAGAGGAAACGAATCACAACATTTTATATATTTAAGCATTGTACATATCTACCGGAATTAGAAGAAGACTGATATAGGCAAAGCCTGTTGTCTTATTCTTTTGTCAATACTGTTCAAATATCTTCTTTAATGTTAACTTATATGTTTGTATTATATATGTATTGTCAATAAAATACTTTTGAAATTAACCTTCCCCCTCTCCACCTACACAAACACACATAGTTTCCCTTCTCTACTCATATGCCTCTCGCACTTGGCCTACAGTTGTGTAATGTGTATTTAGAAAATCAAATCAATTTATATTCATCTTGTAGTGATTAGTGGCTTTGAGACAACTCCAAAATCATATGGTAAAATGGTACTATACATGTAGTAAGTGTAGTCAGATTTCATTACGTCGTTGTATCTAAGTCATTTATATATACTGTACTTACTTTCCACAGTGACGTTATTGCGATATCAGATTGAGGTTATGTAACACATTGTTAGTAATTAAAAATGCATCAACTCGTACAAATTCATGAATTGTAATAACATGAGTACTTTCCTTTTCCATCGAAAACGCAGCCGTGTGTTCAGCGCGCGAACGACATGTTCAATTGTACGCACGCCAGACTTATATGTCGTTCGCACGACATAATTATAGCATGCGCACGACATATAAACTCGTTCTCACGACACAATTATAGCATGCGCACGACATATTAATTAACTCGTTCGCACGGCATAATTATCTCATGCGCACGACATAGTTATCTCGTGCGCACGAAATATTAACTCGTGCGCACGAGATACAAAAATAATATCAGCATGTCCCCAAAGGGGCTCCGTAATAACGAGATAAGCTATCTTGTTATAACGAGATAAGAAAAAATCAAGATTACCAGTATAGGCTTCCGTATTTTAAAATACCTACACACATTCATTCGAGATTTTCGAAATTTACTCGAACACGTATGAAGACAAAATACGAGAACATCCGAAAACATCCAACATGGCTGCCCTTGGATTTAAGGGTTTGACGCGGACAGGACTTGTACTGTTTACGGTCGGTTTGGCGTTTGGTTTCTTTTTAACATACTTTTTTACAACGACACGGTCATGGACACCGCTAAATACGGGACATATGTCTCGTGCACAATACGTGAAGAACCTGATACCACTTCGTCCCGAACACCACATGGACAATGATGAGACGGGCCCAGATAAGTCGGTGTCCTGGGTGGATGAGGCGTTTCACAGCCACGCAGGTTAATGTTTATACAAAGCAGGGATTTGAAGTGCACTACACATCCCTTTACAAAGACAGGCGTTATGTGCTGTCTGAAGAGTGTATCCATATATATATGCGAATAATTGGTTATGGGTTTTGTTGTGTAGTGTGTGTCTGCAGTAGTGATCAGGTCGAATGTCTCGGTGCTCCTAACGCAAGATTAGCCCGAGTTTCCTCTGCCCCTGACACCAGACTAAGACATTTTGTCAGATAGATGTCTGGTGGGGCCAACACCAGATACCTGTCTGTCAAAATGTACTAGTCTGGTGTCGACAGAGCCAGAGGAAACTCGGGCTAAGTACTAGGTATACAGCTGTGTGCCATCAATTAAGACGATTTTTCACAAGGTGGTGGTTAAAAAGAAAACACTTTTTTAATGATAAAAGAATAAAAAAACAAAGGTAATTTAGAGTTATGATAGGTAGGACATGTAAAATGTGATGGCAGCTAGATCTGAAATTTAGGTATCAACAATGTTGGTGCCTGTGTAATAGGACTAGGAATAGTGATAAAGATAGTGCCGTCGCTGGGGCTTGAACCCGCGACCCTTGGCTCTCCAGCCCCATTCTCTACCGCTGAGCTAAAGGGAATTCCCTACAGCTGACGCTTGTAAGGCAACCTAATTAATCCACATCTTTTACACCTGTACATGTGGGCAGATGCATGCATATGGGGCATAATGTTAACTAGTACTAATATTAATAATACCCGGCCTTCTCTGCCCCGGCACAATATATAAAAAAAAATCTCTCCTCATAAGAAAGCTACGTTATCGCAGCTTAATGTTAACGTGCAAAACACTTTTTGTCTCTCCGAGTCTCAGCATCAAACAAGAGTCATGTGGCAACTTTTCATGTAAAACTCTCTTGTAACAGGAAAGATCTAGTATTGTGCTTCTACTGGAGATCAAACTGGCGATCACCGGCTAAATCCTAGTCGGATGCTCTACCACTAAACTAAAGGGAATTTCCCTCTAGTGCAAAGCTAGAAGATGACCATAACCCTTGGTACAAATTAAATCTGCAACACTTCTCGCCCCTTTTGAAATGTGTTTTCCCTTAAAAACCACAATTTAGGTCCTCGGCCACCATTTGTAACAGGAAAGAGAATATTGTGCTTCCATCGGGGATCGAACCTGCGAGGGAGGAATGAAGAGAACCTGGACTGGGTCGATGGTCAGCAGCCAGATAACTCATGATCAATTGGTAGAGTGTCCGTATAGAGTTCAGAGGGTCCCGGTTCGAACCCTGGTCTAGCTGTGCCTTTTTCTGCTCCTATTACACTATTATTTTTATATTTTTTATATTTGACAATATCGCCCTGTTGCCGCTTCTTTCCAAATTTGACAAGGGAAAATTTCTGCCTAAAATAGTCACAGCATGTCATCCTTTTCAAGCTTTGGAACTCTGAAGAATAGTATATAGTTTTGATAAACTATACAGAGTTACAAACAAACCAAATATACATTACACTATGTTTTAATGTGGCACGATAGATATAATGATGTTTGTATTTTGTTATTGCAGATTAATTACAATTTCATATATGCAAAAACGTTCAAAAATATAGTTGGTTACCTTAATTATTGTTCATGTGCTGTTTAAATAGTTCACTCTAACACATGTCCATATGTTGATCATGAGTATATCTTAAATCTTCTCTGTTATTTCATTACCAACAGGTGAATCAGATGCAGAAGCAAAGATGTTATCAAAGAAGGTTCGTGTTCTGTGTTGGGTAATGACTGGGCCTAATAACATTGAGACCAAGGCTAGACATGTGAAAGCAACGTGGGGTACACGCTGTAACAAACTGATCTTCATGAGTTCCCAAGAGGTTAAAGATCTACCAGCTGTTGCTCTGCCGGTTAAAGAAGGGCGAGATAACCTCTGGGCTAAGACAAAAGAGGCGTTTAAGTACATCTACAAACACCACATGAATGATGCCGATTGGTTCATGAAAGCTGATGATGACACTTTCGTTATTGTGGAAAATCTGCGACATTTTCTAAATGACAAAATGTCTGAGACTCCAGTGTATTATGGGCGGCGATTTAAGCCTTATGTTCGACAAGGCTATATGAGTGGTGGGGCTGGGTATGTTCTTAGTCACAAAGCGGTACAGCTTCTGGTGGAAAAGGGAATAGATGACAGTTCTGTTTGTCGATCCGATGATGGAGGTGCAGAAGACCTGGAACTAGGACGATGTATGCAGAAACTTGGAATAGAGGCAGGCGATTCGAGGGATGAAATGGAGAGAGAGAGATTTATGCCATTTGTCCCTGAACACCATCTAATACCTGGTATACTCCCAAAAGACATGTGGTACTGGAGCTACAGCTTCTACCCAGCCAAACAGGTAAGTATATATAAACATATAAATTGTAACAGCAAAAGGATTAATGCAGGAATAGAAAGTTAGTACCTTACTGTACTTTGTAATAGGAGAAAATATGCACTGTAGCCGCATGACCCGCCGGCGGGAAGGGTTGCCGCAGGTCTGAGTCAGGGGAGCATGGATGATATCAACCATCGGATATCCATATGAATAAAGCATTTGTGTGACTGTTATTTAATATAATGTTTACCCTAAATAGGGCCAGCCGTAAATAGTGTCGTAAAAAATATCAGCAATGCAACATGGAACACAGGGAAAATGAAATAAATCACTGGAGTCGTCGAACTGATGAAATAAAAACAAAAACGAACCAAAACAGTATTTTTAGTTACAAGATAGGGAGTTTGTAACCGAAATAAGGGAAAATAATGCCGAAATTAGAAAGGGGTATAGACACTTATTTGGTCATAAAAAATGCCGGTATATATCCATGAACAGGTGTAACATCTACGAAAGATCTGTACTTGTATGGATGTTTCTGTTGACATTATCAATATAATGTAACTGTCACATGATTATTTGTTGATACTGGCAAACGATGCGTAATTGAAATGTGTATTTCTCTTTACAGGGGCCAGACTGCTGTAGTGATTACGCCATTACCTTCCATTATGTAAACCCAAACATGATGTATGTGCTGGAGTACCTAGTGTACCATCTAAAGCCCTACGGCTACAACACTGTCAGTCAGGTACAGTGCAAAGGTCAGGAAGAGGTCATACAAAGGTCACAAGGTCAGGGCGAGAAGAAAGCAGCAGTTGAAGAAACAGAAAAAGAAATAGCAAAAGAGGAACATAAAGAAAAAACAGATGAACAAGTCAAAGAAAATGAAGAGAAACAAAACGAAGAAACTGGAAAAATAAATGCACATGAAAAGGATCAAGAAATGAAAGAAGAAAATCAGGAGCAAAATGTGGAAGAAAAAGCTCATGAGAATGAAGCTGAAAAAGAAGAAGAAAAACAAGAAAATACTGATACAAAGGATATAAAGAAAAATACTGAAACCGATAACAAAGTCAAACCTGAAGAAGAAAAAGTAGAAATAGATGAAGAAAGATTTCAACAGATAACTAACAAAATTATTGAAAAGGAGAATAAAGACAAGGTGGACATCAATAATGTAAAGCTTTATCAGGTGGACGCAGCAGTGAATACAGACGAGGAAATCAAAAAACCAAAGGAAACAATTGATAATGTAAAGTTATACAAACCAATAAATAGCTAACATTAAATTCAGAGCATGATACACGATATTTTTGTTATGCAATGGAACTTGTAAATATGTTTTATTTTGTAATATTATTCAGTTAAAGTCCCGTTTCATGATCAGCATTACAGTATTGTTCCTGGACAATATGAATGGATTTATTTATTGTACAAATGTCTATATAACATGTACATGTAATGAATACATATTACATTTTTAGTGTATATATATATATATATATATATATATCAATGGACTCACTCTATCAAGTCCATATATATATATATATATATGGACTTGATAGAGTGAGTCCATTGATATGACTCTATGAGGTCCACATAACAACATATTAACCAAGACAAAAGTCTGAGTCCTTAATTTTTATATTGAATATCATGTCTTTGGATAACATGAGATATCAGATATCCAAATACATAATGTAAAAGGGTGTTTTTTGGAATGAAATATCCAGATTTAGATTTAGAAAAATGAAGTTGTAGATATATATGTACTACTCACATTTTGTTAGGGATCACTTTTATTTTTGGGCATATGTGAAAATACATATTTGATTTGGTTTATACTGAGATATTTTTTGAAAAATTGATAGTTCTTTTAATTCATCAGCATGTAAAAATTCCAAAAATCGTAATTATAAATCACTCTTAGTGGTCTGGATGTTAGTGTGCGGGGGAAGGGGTCTTAATATGGGATCTGGGAATCAAACCCCCGTCGCCTTGTTGTAAGGCGAGTGCGTTATCTACTGCACCAACTGACCACCCAAGCTAATGCTACCTTTTCACATCCAATGGGGGAAATGAACCCTGACTGTCTTGGTGTAAGGAGAGTGCCCCACCGCGCCACCTGAGCCCACCCAATTTTGTAAGTTACATTTGTATGACTTTTTTTTTAATGGGACTATTTTTTTCTGTGATGTACAGCATAATTGTAGTTTTAAATTATATAATGTGTCATAATCAAAATGAATGAGGTGTTTTGCATATTTACTTTTTGAAAATATTTATTAATTCTACAAAGGACAAAAATCAAAGATTAATTTGAGAGTTTTGTAAGAAAATGGTTGAAATATTTTATTTTTTCAGGCGGGAGAGGGTAATGGGAGATTTGGTGTATTTTTTGTGATTAAATTATGTTTTATTTTAGTTTGAATTATGATTTGAATTTTGCAATTTTACATTATTGATTGATGTTTTTTTTCTTTTCTTTTAATTGTTATCACCTTACAAGTGGGAAAATTATAAACTCCCACAGAAATAGTTGACATGTCAATGGCATAGCCATCATGTAATGTACATGTACAATGAATTATACCATTTTACATACTTGCCATCTCTCCCTATTAAGGAGGGAGACTCCCGATTTTGGACCCTGAAATTGAGCATGTTCAACCGGTGAGTTTGCTGAACCATTCCTGTTTTCTAAGATCTAACTACTTTATCTGAAAGAACAGCTACAAAATGCCATTTAGAAGTGATATTTGTCCCTACTGTGTACATACACACATTTTATTTATGCTTTTTATTCTGAACATATAATCTCCTCCGTGGAAATTTCAAAAAGTTGGCAAGTATGATTTGATGCCAGTTTTGTTGTACATGTACACAGGTTTTACCAACATTGGCTGGTGACGACATTTCTTCTTTGATGTTATTCCCACCTTCTTAAAACATTCCATGCATTTCAATGTTAAATGTAGAGCTCATTGTTTATAAATATCATGTATCAGCACATGATAAACAACATGACTGATATTTGTCTTAAGAACATGATTGTTATTTGTCTTAAGAACATGACTGATATTTGTCTTATTGCAAGATTTTTTGACATTGAGTGGTACAGGAGATGTTAATTTATTGTTGAAGCACATAAGAAATAGTTATAGATATTTGTGATGGTAAATTTGATGTGATATAAACATCAGTAATGAACATTACATGTATACATTTATGATATAATGAACATGACATGTATACATTTATGATATAATGAACATTACATGTATACATTTATGATGTAATACACATTACATGTATACATTTATGATGTAATGAGCATTACATGTATACATTTATGATGTAATACACATTACATGGTTACATTTATGATGTAATGAACATTACATGTATACATATGATGTAATGAACAGGACATGTATACATTTATGATGTAATGAACTCTATTGCAGTACATGTACAGTACTTAATGAAGTATAACTTTACACGTTGTCTTTCACAGAAATTACAATGCCGGTATACTTCAAAGCCACTACATTGCACTGCAGTAACTGTAAACTAGCTCTGCTTGTGTACAGTCATTCTCATTCCAAGTGTAACAATTTATTAGCTCACCTAGCACAAAGTGCCAAGTGAGCTTATACCGTGGCGCGGCGTCCGTCGTCCGTCCTCGTCCGTCAACTTTTCCTTTAAACAACTTCTTGTGAAGAACGGACAGGCCTAGAGTCATGATATTTGGCTGAAAGCTTCGTTGGTAGGAGCCATACAAAGTTTGAGAACGAAAATGACCTTGACCTGTTTTCAAGATCACAGGGGTCAAATATGTCAAAAACTTCAAACGACTTCTTCTAAAGAACTAAAAGGTATAGAATCTTCATATTTGGCTGATGGCTTCCTTGGATAGAGCCCAAAAAAGTTTGAGAATGAAAATGACCTTGACCTACTTTCAAGGTCACAGGGGTCAAATGTGTCAAACACTTTAAATGACTTCTTCTGAAGAACTGAAAGGTATATAATCTTTATATTTGGCTGGTGGCTTCCTGGGATAGAGCCAAACAAAGTTTGAGAATGAAAACTAGTTTGACCTACTTTCAAGGTCACAGGGGTCATATATGTCAAAAGCTTCAAATGACTTCTTCTGAAGAACTGAAAGGTATAGAATCTGTATTTTTGATTGATGGCTTCCTTGGATAGAGCCCGACAAAGTTTGAGAATGAAAATGACCTTGACCTTCTTTCAAGGTCACAGGAGTCAAATGTGTCAGACACTTCAAACGACTTCTTCTGAAGAACTGAAAGGTATATAATCTCTATATTTGGCTTGTAGCTTCCTAGGAAAGAGCCGAACAAAGTTTGAGAATGAAAATGACCTTGACCTTCTTTTAAGGTCACATGAGGCAGATATGTCAAACACTTTAAACGACTTCTTCTGAAGAACTGGTAGTTATAAAATCTTAATATTTGGCAGGTGGCTTCCTGGGAAAGAGCCAAACAAAGTTTGCGAATGAAAATGACCTTGACCTACTTTCAAGGTCACAGCGTTCAAATATGTCAAACAGTTCAAACAGCTTCTTCTGAAGAATTAAAAGGCATAAAATTATAATATTTGGCTGGTGACTTCCCGGGATAGAGCTCACCAAAGTTTGCAAATGAAAATGACCTCAACCTACTTTAGAGGTCACAGAGGTCAACAACATTTTAATGGATTTGTTCTTGAGAACTAAAAGGAATGGATTCATAAGATTTGGCTGGTAGCTTTTTGGAATAGAGCTAACCAATTTGAGAAGGCAAATGACATTGACCTACTTACAAGATCACAGGGAAAAATATGTCAGCAACTTCTGAAGAAGAATCAAAAAGCATAGAATCTTATAATAATATTTTGCTGGTAGTTTCAACAGATGGAGCCAACAAAGTTTGCGAGGGAAATATTTTTAGTGCAATAGAATATTTAATGAGAATATTTTGCTATGACTGCTTAAATATTCAGGTGAGCGATACAGGCCCTCTTGGGCCTCTTGTTGGTTTGTGTTAAAAAACATAATCATATATTTATGACAGCATTGACATAAAATGTAAGTTTTAATCAGGTAATTAGATATGTATATTCTATGACATTGCCACTATACCTGGGGTTGGCTGAGCATCAAACATGGGCGCCAAATGTAACAGGACAACGAGAAATGCAACTCGAACTCGGGACCATCCGAACTCTAGACGGACGCTTTAGCTAGCCATTGACCCAGTCTAGTTCTGTTACAAATGTATCGGACCTCGTGTTGACATTATAATGACAACATAGTTGATACCAACATAATTCCTATGTACACTTATTTGAATAAATGCGGATTTTGATAATTCTCTGATTTTAAAATATTCTAAAATAGTCACCATCAACCCCGCCTGAAAGCAGTTCTCAATGTAAATGTACAAAATCAACCTTTTTTAGCACCTTTCATGCTTTCTCAGATGCACTGATTTATTTCTAGCACTAAGTAGATATACTCCTTATCTAAAGAACATTTGATAAAGGATAATAGGTAAGACGCACAAAGTGCTTATTCATGTAAACGTTGTAAGACATGGGTTGTAGAAGTTCTGTCTGAAACTGTCCGTCTCAAGTTGAAAGTAATATTGTGATTTATCTTTTTATTATGATGACATTTTGTTTCTGGTTGTTTTTAATAGATTGCAGATGTAATTAAAGAAATCAAAATGCATGACAAATATATATATATTGATGTTACTGCCAAAGTTTTTTTTTAGGTAACATGGTCCAGGAGTACTAGGAATAGTAAATACTGTAATACTGTATACCGGGGAATTTTAGCCCATTCAACTATTCATTCTTCACTGGTAAGATCTCTTCACCCATCGTAAATTTTGCCCTTAATATGTAATTCCTATGTATGGTATGTTATGTAGCAATTTTCGCTGTTATGATTAGTTTGCCCTCATTGCAGAGGGTGAAAAAGGTGAAATTATGACTGCGGCAGAACATTTCCCGGTATAGAGCATGCATTCAGTGCAACTTGTACACGAGGAAAGTATTGTAGTTAGGTAAAAACTCGCCTGGTATATTAACTTTTGTCCTTTACTCAAGGTTGATACTCTGCTTAAGTCAGAAATCTGCCATCTGATGCTGCCAAAGTTTCTTGTTCAATTTTGATGTCAGTCCAAATTTGCAAATATTTAATGAGGCGATTGCGATTATCAGATTCGTTGATATAATTTCTAGACAATATAAGTGAATGAATTATTAGATTCGAACAAACTTGTCTGTTAATCCTTTCACCACAGTGTAACTTTAGTAAACTGTACCATGCATTGGTCTGGATGAGTCCATTTCGGTCTACAGTGCTGCAACTTCCTTGCCAAATTCCAAGTTTGATGCCAGGATAAATTAACACATATTTGATGAGGCTGTTGCAATTTGATTGGCTGATTTATATTGTTTCTGGACACAATTTGATTGGCTGATTTATATTGTTTCTGGACACAAATTGATTGGCTGATTTATATTGTTTTCGGACATAATTTGATTGGCTAATTTATATTGTTTCTGGACATTATTTGATTGGCTGATTTATATTGTTTCTGGACATAATTGGATTGGCTGATTTATATTGTTTCTGGACATAATTGGATTGGCTGATTTATATTGTTTCTAGGCATAATTTGATTGGCTGATTTATATTATTTCTGGACATAATTTGATTGGCTGATTTATATTGTTTCTGGACATAATTTGATTGGCTAATTTAAATTGTTTCTGGGTATAATTTGATTGGCTGATTTATATTGTTTCTGGACACAATTTGATTGGCTGATTTATATTGTTTCTGGACACAATTTGATTGGCTGATTTATATTGTTTCTGGACACAATTTGATTGGCTGATTTATATTGTTTCTGGACACAATTTGATTGGCTGATTTATATTGTTTCTGGACACAATTTGATTGGCTGATTTATATTGTTTCTGGACACAATTTGATTGACTGATTTATATTGTTTCTGGACACAATTTGATTGGCTGATTTATATTGTTTCTGGACACAATTTGATTGACTGATTTATATTGTTTCTGGACACAATTTGATTGGCTGATTTATATTGTTTCTGGACACAATTTGATTGACTGATTTATATTGTTTCTGGACACAATTTGATTGGCTGATTTATATTGTTTCTGGACACAATTTGATTGACTGATTTATATTGTTTCTGGACACAATTTGATTGGCTGATTTATATTGTTTCTGGACACAATTTGATTGACTGATTTATATTGTTTCTGGACACAATTTGATTGGCTGATTTATATTGTTTCTGGACACAATTTGATTGACTGATTTATATTGTTTCTGGACACAATTTGATTGGCTGATTTATATTGTTTCTGGACACAATTTGATTGACTGATTTATATTGTTTCTGGACACAATTTGATTGGCTGATTTATATTGTTTCTGGACACAATTTGATTGACTGATTTATATTGTTTCTGGACATAATTTGATGGGCTGATTTATATTGTTTCTGGACACAATTTGATTGGCTGATTTATATTGTTTCTGGACACAATTTGATTGACTGATTTATATTGTTTCTGGACATAATTTGATGGGCTGATTTATATTGTTTCTGGACACAATTTGATTGGCTGATTTATATTGTTTCTGGACACAATTTGATTGACTGATTTATATTGTTTCTGGACACAATTTGATTGGCTGATTTATATTGTTTCTGGACACAATTTGATTGACTGATTTATATTGTTTCTGGACATAATTTGATGGGCTGATTTATATTGTTTCTGGACACAATTTGATTGGATGATTTATATGTTTCTGGACACAATTCGATTGGCTGATTTATATTGTTTCTGGACACAATTTGATGGCTGATTTATATTGTTTCTGGACACAATTTGATTGGATGATTTATATGTTTCTGGACACAATTCGATTGGCTGATTTATATTGTTTCTGGACACAATTTGATGGCTGATTTATATTGTTTCTGGACACAATTTGATTGGATGATTTATATGTTTCTGGACACAATTCGATTGGCTGATTTATATTGTTTCTGGACACAATTTGATGGCTGATTTATATTGTTTCTGGACACAATTTGATTGCATGATTTATATGTTTCTGGACACAATTCGATTGGCTGATTTATATTGTTTCTGGACACAATTTGATGGCTGATTTATATTGTTTCTGGACACAATTTGATTGGATGATTTATATGTTTCTGGACACAATTCGATTGGCTGATTTATATTGTTTCTGGACACAATTTGATGGCTGATTTATATTGTTTCTGGACACAATTTGAATGACTGATTTATATTGTTTCTGGACATAATTTGATGGGCTGATTTATATTGTTTCTGGACACAATTTGATTGACTGATTTATATTGTTTCTGGACATAATTTGATGGGCTGATTTATATTGTTTCTGGACATAATTTGATTGCACCATCAGTTTTGATAATACTGTTGTCACTCAAGTTTGATTTGGCCAAATGAGGCTGGTGTTATCTCATTTCAATTACTGATGGTTTCCAGATGTTTTTTGAAAGATTTATTAGATTTAGATGAAACTTCCATTGTAGAGTACCACTGGATAGTACAAGCACTATTCTGCATACATACAATGTTATGTAGTTTTCCATGTAACCATTTTGGTATTTTTTTGATATTTTTAACAGGATGTAATATAACAAATATTTCCAGAAATGTTACACACATATACTTTGTTTGCTATTTTGCAGACATGAGACATTGTGTAAATTTCCAGACATGATGCATAATCACCTCATATGCAACTTTGCATACGTGATACCTTGTACAAATGTTTTTAGTTTCCATACATAATGCTTTATTTTATATAATACTGTATTTTATATTTTATATAATTCTGTATTTTATATTTTATATAATACTGTATTTTATAAGTTTTCAGATTTCATAAAGCAGTAGAAAGTTTTCTAGATATTTTAATTACCTTGTTTGTAATTTTCCAGAAATTTCACCGTGTGTTAATTAAGTTTGCAGAAATGATACCTTGTATGTAAGATTCCAGATTCCATGAAATAGCAATTTTTCAACAGAAATATGCAGACGAGGATATTTGATTTGATTGTGAATTGTTTTTCCAAAATAACTACCTCGAGCTTCAAACTGTCCCTTCTGATTAAAATTAGATGTGAACTTCTCAATCATTTGATAATAATTTGAAGAAACCTTATTGAATTAATACCTCATATAAAAAAGATTTTGGACTTTGTAAATAATATGCTGTAAAATGGAATTGAGATCATGTTGTGTTCCAGTTTAACTTACCTCACTGATGTAAGGATGACTTAATGTAGTTCTGTTTCTTTTATTCTAGAGTCATTTAATTTCAATCATGACAAAGATGGTCTTGATATCAATGTCATCTATGAAAGTGTAAAAACACTTTTTACTTGTTTATTAACAGGCCTCTACACTATATATATGAAATATATACAGTGTATATGTGTAAAAATATGAAATAGGCTATCCCTTCCATACTATGTTTCATTATTTTACACATACATGTAGATACTCCAGGGGTTACACTCACTTATGCTGCCTGCACCCCTGGAATATGTCGTAGCAAAATTGAAGGCTCAGTGTGCACCTCCTTGTTGATGAGACAAGACTAGTTCGATCCTTTGATGTATATCAAAAGAATCTCACGGTCCTGTAACTGTAAAAATTGAAAATTAAAAATCCCAAAGATTCAGGGTTTTTTCACCCGAGCCCAATCAAATAACTATCTTTGTGCCTTCAATTTTACTATGACATATTCCAGGGGTGCAGAGAGCGTACTTGAGCAAAACCCCTGGATATCGAGGATGGTATTTACATATACCAAATGCAAATGCCTGTGGTTAATTCACTGAATGATAAAAAGTCGTTCTGAAGAGAAATTTTGTGACCCATGAGATGGTTTAACAATAAAACATATTTTTAATAACGCAGTACTTTTTTGTTATAATTTTATTGCTTTCTTTATCAAAAATATACAATGGAAATATAAAAATAACATGATACTGAATACCGGAACATTTTTGCTGCATTTTAATTTTCGTCTTTTCACCCTCTGCAATGAGTGCAAATTTATCATTACAGCAAACATTAGTATACAATAATGTAATAAAATAAGATACTTGTCAGATGTAAAGGGCCAAATTAACACTGGGCAAATTCGATTTTTTCAGCGTAGGACGAAAGTTTGACTGGACAAAAGTGTCCGATGTACAGTATTTGGTTAGGTTACAATAATAATTTGAGAATAAAAAATGTTTTATTGGTGGAAGGTTGTTCATTTTGGTAAAAAAATAGCATCTCTTTAGGTATTCTCCATAAACTTCACTATATCTGTCACCCGAGTCTGCAGTCAGAATTTCAATACAATTGTAATTGACTGCAGTGATGCAACAAAGCAAAAAAAAATAGAACATGTAAAGCAAAGTTGGGATTCGGCAAAAATTATGCTGGGGATCCACAAATATGTTGCAAATGTCAGAAAATAGAAAAAAGCCTAGATATGTCTTCTCCAATCTCCAGTGTACCCGGTAAAAGCTGCTACTTATTGCGGGATTACAATTAAGTTTCCCTAATTCTAATTAACATACTTGCCAACTTTCTGAAACTTCCATTATGGATATCACGTGTGCTTAGAATTAAAACTCAAATAAAATATGTGTATGTATACACCCTGGGGGAAAACAACACATCTTTTGAGCTGTTCTTTCAGATGAAATCATTAGATGTTAGAATATAGGAATAGTTTAACAAATTCACTGATTGAAAATGCTCAATTTTAAGGTCCAAAATCGGGAGTTGACAAGTATGTTATAATATATCAGAAAAAGCTTGTTAGGGTTTTAATTTCCATACCATCCAAACTTTTCTTACATGATTATGATATTGCAACCAAGTGTGAACTAGAAGAAACCGATGAAACCGAACTATGACAAAAAGCGACTTTCCCTAAATGAAGTATAGCCAACTTTACCATCTCCCCAAGGGAATTGGCTGATCCAGCGTATGAAATCCACAAGTTTGATATAGCACATAGGGACCTTTCCATCCATTCAGAGAATTTAATTCTAGCAAAATTGTGGTCTGAAGATGATATTTGAAATTTTAGCCAATTTGACTCTTTAACACTTTCACCCCTACAGTATGTAATTATATATAACTTGAGTAAACTCTACCATGCATTAATCTGGATGAGTCCATTATGGTCTACAGTGGTGAATGGGTTAATGTCCTTCCCACACAGTGTTACAGGGTAAGATCCATATGATTTACTTTTTTGATTGAATTGTCTTTTCCTACTAAATTCTTTTGTAATTGGTTCAAATATTTAACAATAGTCCAAAATGTGGACTGTTAACAGACACATGACAAGGGACAAAAGGTGGTGTCGATAGGTCACATGGGACTTGGTCATTAGGACTTCTGTAACATTATCACATAAAATAGTATGTAGAACAAAACAAAGAGCTTACATCAATAACAATCTACAGCTTGTGCATCACATATACAATGTATAACTTGTCACCAGGTTCTAGGAAGAAAATATTGATAAAAACTGAATAGTTTAACGACACATACACATAAATTTCCTGAAAATTAAATATTGACTGGTAAACTGTTCCTAACAGACAAGAAAGATTTGTAGGTTCTTCTTAAAATGTTTCAAATTTGGTAAATTTAAAGAAATTTAAGTGCAGGTTTGCCCAAAATATTTTAACATCTCCAGGTGAGGAGTCCTCAATTTCAAAGATAGAGAATTTATAATAAAAACAAATCCATATTTTACACATTTTATAAAGTTCAGTCTAAAATATGCTGCCAAATGTCCCTAAGAGACCAGATACATTAGACACATTATTGTAATGTCCCAAAGACACCACATACATTAGACACATTATTGTAATGTCCCAAAGACACCTGATACATTAGACACATTATTGTAATGTCCCAAAGACACCTGGTATATTAGACACATTATTGTAATGTCCCAAAGACACTTGATACATTAGACACATTATTGTAATGTCCCAAAGACACCTGGTATATTAGACACATTATTGTAATGTCCCAAAGACACCTGGTATATTAGACACATTATTGTAATGTCCCAAAGACACCTGATACATTACACACATTATTGTAATGTCCCAAAGACACCAGATGCATTAGACACATTATTGTAATGTCCCAAAGACACCTGATACATTACACACATTATTGTAATGTCCCAAAGACACCAGATACATTAGACACATTACTGTAATGTCCCAAAGACACCTGATACATTAGATCCGTTATTGTAATGTCCCAAAGACACCAGATACATTAGACACATTATTGTAATGTCCCAAAGACTTTTGACACATTAGACACATTACTGTAATGTCCCAAAGACACCAGATACATTAGATCCGTTATTGTAATGTCCCAAAGACACCTGATATATTAGACACATTATTGTAATGTCCCAAAGACTCCTGACACATTAGACGCATTATTGTAATGTCCCAAAGACTCCCGACACATTAGACACATTATTGTAATGTCCAAAAGAGACCTGACACATTAGACACATTACTGTAATGTCTCAAAGACTCCTGACACATTAGACACATTATTGTAATGTCCCAAAGACACCTGACATATTAGACACATTATTGTAATGTCCCAAAGACACCTGACACATTAGACACATTATTGTAATGTCCCAAAGACTCCTGACACATTAGACACATTATTGTAATGTCCCAAAGACACCTGACACATTAGACACATTATTGTAATGTCCCAAAGACTCCTGACACATTAGACACATTATTGTAATGTCCCAAAGACACCTGACACATTAGACACATTATTGTAATGTCCCAAAGACACCTGACACATTAGACACATTATTGTAATGTCCCAAAGACTCCTGACACATTAGACACATTATTGTAATGTCCCAAAGACACCTGACACATTAGACACATTATTGTAATGTCCCAAAGACATCTGATACATTAGATCCATTATTGTAATGTCCCAAAGACACCTGATACATTAGACACATTAATGTAATGTTCAAAAGACACCTGATACATTGACATTATTGTAATGTCTCAAAGACACCTGATACATTAGACACATTACTGCAATGTCCCTAAGAGACCTGATACATTGACATTATTGTAATGTCTCAAAGACACCTAATACATTAGACACATTACTGCAATGTCCCTAAGAGACCTGATACATTGACACATTACTGTAATGTCCCAAAGACACCAGATACATTAGACACATTACTGTAATGTCCCAAAGACACCTGATACATTAGACACATTATTTTAATGTCCTTAAAGACACCTGATACATTAGACATATTATTGTAATGTCTCAAAGACACCCGACACATTACTGTAATGCCCTATAGATACCCGATACATTAGAAACATTATTGTAATGCCCTAAAGACACCTGATACATTAAGACACATTATTGTAATGTCCCAAAGACATCTGACACATTAGACACATTATTGTAATTTCCTTAAGACACTAGACACATTATAATCACAACCATGACACTTGATACATGTACATAGATACAGTAATCCCTGATTTGTGGCCTTTCTGTATATACCTTCTGTATTTAGTTATACAATTTCAATTAGAAGGCCATTATAATTGAACACTGGGTCACTTTGTATTAATCACCAGCATGAGAAAATGTGGATGATTATTTTTGTGGTTTATAATATTCACGGAATGTGATGAATCCAGTTTTAGCACTAGTCTGGTATCACTACCAGACTACATACTAATGACTTTCTGTGAGGAGAACCTATCAGAGAAATAATATTTTATATGACATAATGTTGCTTGGCTGCAGATATTGATGTCCTCTGTGATAATTATAAATACAATATCCACAACCTAATATTAGTAATTAAATACAAGAAATATAACTCCAAGTGAAACAATGAAAACTGATGACAGTACAAGTCTGAGTCTCCAGTGTGCTTTACTCCTTTGTAAATCCCTGTGCAAACCACGCACCTGCTTTTCAGTTGATATCAAACTTCCGCTATTGTCAACAACATAGGTGGCAGCTTTTACTTTTTGAGCCAATGGCATTTGAGCTTCTATTCTGCCTCTGGCTTCCTCTTCTGTCAGTTTATTTCTTTTCATCAGCCGTTCTAATTGTTGATCCTCCGAGCTGAAATGTTAAATGATGATATTGAATAGTTTCAGTCAATGCTGAAATTAACTGACAATACTTTTATACTATGAAGCATAAGACACAAACAACTGTGAAGAGACATTACACATATATAGCTCTCGAAATAACTTAATGTTAAAACAAGGCGCTGTGTCAACCTATTGAGAACTATACTGGGTCAGTGTATTGAACATTAATTTCATTTTAGATAATCTTGTTGTGTAATTTTACAAATCTAGAGGTCATAATGTGTTCAATGCCTCTGCTAGGAGTCGAACCCAGGACCTCATGGTTACTAGCCTTTACGCTCTACTGAATCAGCTTGAGAGAAATCTCCCTAGCCACGTCAGTAGCAAGAAGCAAGTATTTTACCAGTGTGACATACTCCCCCTCCCGAAAAGAACTTGTCCCAAGTTTTCTAGGGGTCATAGCAATTCTTATGAAAGTATCACTAAATATATTTGTCCATATTTTTCGGGTCCTTACATTGGCACCAATGTAACAGAGGTAATTATTTGTTCACTGTCTCTGCTAGGAGTCAACCTCTGATTTACTGTTGCCCTATGCTCTACAGAATGAGCTAGAGAACATATGTCCCGAGCTGAGTCGGTAGAACCAGCCAGTTATGCATTTTCATTTAACTAACCTACAATTAAACATATTTGTAGAAGATGTGACTCCCATCAACTGGTCTAGCTAGTACTGAAAATGTTTGTTTCTGATGTTGGATTATATAATTACCTATCACAGCGACAGTACTTACCAATTGACAACTACAGTGTATGTTACGTAGGGTAGGACTTTTCCTGTCTCAAACAGCAAAGGAATATCCAGAACAGCATATGCATGACCTGTAAATGTATTTAAACCTGTCAAAACATCCCAGAAGTACATTTGCGAGCTCTACAAATTCCAAATTTGTGAATGCTACTATAGGCAGCTTTAAAATCCTCCTCTCCTATATTAACAATTCCTTTTGTAGCCTCATGAAAATTCCATGACAAGTAAGCATACCAAGTAAATACAAATAATAGATAGATATCTAAATGCAAGTATTTCTGTGATATGTGGAAATAACAAGTTTGATGAATGTAGCCTAGGTTAAATACATGTACATTTACCAAGGAAGTTGCTCCTGTTAATTTGGAATGAACAAAGGGCCTTAACTCTGTATATAGTGGGACATGACACCACACTCTAGTAGATGACACTCTGATTCCTCTAGATATTTGTAACTTTTTAGAAGGTACAGTTGTATGTCATAGGAGAAATAATAAGCAAGCTATGCTGTCAAAAATCTTTGGCATCAGATATGAAACCAGAGTACAGTGGGGCGGAACAATATACGCCCGTCGAATGCCATATAGTGTTATATCCTTTCTTACATTGAAATAAGATCTGCATCATTCTAAGAGTGGTTAGTTGACATGCTATAAAAAATGTATGAGAAAATCTCTGGATAAAAAATCAAATACTGAAATGAATAAAGGGCCATAACTTTTGCAAAAATCGTCAAATCAAAATTCTTTTAAGCAGGACACAACTTCATATCGTGACTATAATGTATCCCAAGTTTCAAAGAAATCCGTCACAAAAAATAGGAAGATCTCCGGACAAAAAATCAAATACTGAAATGAACAAAGTGCAATAACTTTTGCAAAAATTGTTGAATAAAAATTCTTTTCAAGGAAACACAACAACATATCATGATTATTTAGCCTCCTAAGTTTCCAAGAAATCCTTCAAAAAAAGTAGGAGGAGATTTCCGGACAATTTTTTTTTACTAAAATGAACAAAGGGCAATAACTTTTAGAAAAATTGTCGAAACAAAATTCTTTTATGGGAGACACAACTTCATATCATGATTATAATGTATACCAAGTGTCAAAGAGATCGGTCAAAAAATGTAGGAGGAGATTTCCGGACAAATAAAAGTTTACGACGAACGGACAACCCCATACCATAATACTTCTGTCAAATTTGACGGGCATATGAAAAGGCCATAGTCCTGTATATACATGTAGCAGCTAGGGCACACTACCCTATTTTAGTATACAATGTATATATGTATGCCACACACTGCCTTCTATAGCTACAATACCCTAGCTGGGGTAGATGAGGCCCAGTATTCATAGTAGTACTTAACTGCCTTCCTGAGATACACAGTTATATATATAATTTATATACCAAGTTTGGTGACTGTAGGAATAGCACAGAGTTTATGCTTCGGACAAACTTTAGTATAATAACTAACAAGAGGCCCAGAGGGCCTGTATTGCTCACCTGAATATAATTAAAGTAATTGGTATGAAGTAAAGATATAGCACTCCATTGTAGGTGCTGTAAGTACATATGAAATTTCAGAAAGATCCTTCCAGTACTTGAGATATAGAGAACAAACTTCAAACAGAGCCCCACCTCTATTCCCCTACGGGGGTCATACCCACCAATTATACAAAATTGAGTCACCATCACCCAAGGATGCTCCACACTAAATAAGGATAAAATCCCTTAATCCCTATGGTAGAAGAAGGAGTTTAAAGGTTTTACCTCCATTTTCCTTATTGGGCCCCGCCTCTCTGCCTACAGGGGGGGGGGGGGGGGGGGGGCGCCAGACACACCGTTTATACAAAATTGGTTCCCCTTCACCCAAGAATGCTTCATACAAAATATTGACAAAATCCTGTCATTCCTACCGAAGAAAAAGGATTTTGAAGATTTACGTCTATTTCCCCTATTGGGCCCCCACCCCCCCGTCAGGTCCCAGGGGGGCCACACCTACCGTTTATACAAAATTTGTTCCCCTTTACCCAAGGATGTTCCACACCAAATATAGACCAAATCCTTTCATTCCTACAGAAGAATAAGGATTTTAAAAAATAACTTGCTATGTTTCCCCTATTGTGCTCCGCCCATCAGGCCCCTGGGGAGCCAAACCCATGGTTAATACAAAATTGGTTCCCCTTTATCCAAGGATGCTCCACACCAAATATGGACCAAATCCTTCCACTCCTACAGAAGAAGAAGGATTTTAAAGAATTTGCTACATTTCCCCTATTGGGCCCCGCCCCTCAGCCCCCAGGGGGGTCAGACCCACCATTTATACAAACTTTCTTCCCCTTCCCCCAAGGATGCTTCTGACCAAATATGGAACAAATCCTTCCACTCCTACAGAAGTAGAAGGATTTTAAAGAAGAATTTGCTATATTTCCCCTATTTGGCCCCGCCCCTCAGGCCCCTGGGGGGCCACACCCACCATTGATACAAAATTGGTCTTTTTCACCCAAGGATGCTCCACACCAAATTTTGTTAAAATCCGTTCAGTGGTTAATAACTAGTATATACGTAGTGTAAAGTTGACAGATGACGGACGACTGACGCAGGACGACGGACGCTGCAGTATGGCATAAGCTCACCTTGGTCCATCGGACCAGGTGAGCTAAAAATAGCAAGTTTGGTGAACATGGGTGGAATAGTATGAACTTTATGATCCAGACAAAGTGTTGGTGATACCTAGCCAGCCAGCCAATCCCAAACCATAATACACCCCATCAAAGATGGACACATAAATATACAGTTACCAGATATCAAATTAAAAGGCTTTAAGCAAGAAACATACGTTGTTAACAAGCTGTGTGTGTATTGTCAATGGAACTGTACTTCAAAACTAGTTAGTGCTGTCATTTTAGAGATTGATTCAAATTTTTGTTTAGAATTATCAAATGGCAACAGAATAAAGCTATGTGATGACTTTCTGCATTCATAGTACTGTGAACACTATTTTATCTTAGTTGGTTAATAAAGTGGACATAAAAAAATCTTTGATGTAAATATAAACTTCATGTTGTAAAAACCCTATCTACAGCATATGACAGGGTTGGAACCCTGATAAGCTGATAGGTGCAGTTTTATCCCTAACATAACAGCTTTCAGGGTATTAAAATGTTGTTTTTTTTCAAATATTTTTTCTCTCAGGATATCAGGAAAGATACTTTCAGGAAGCTGTTGCCATTCCTGAAATAGAACACTTGTGGAAGGGAGATGCAATCAATACTAATTAAGTATGTAGTTCCTTGATCTATTTACCAAAAGTTTGTTGCATATTGTACAATCACTGGTACTTACAAGTGAGAAGAAGAATAACAATTACCTGTGATAAATAGCTGAAAGATTTTCCTTAGCATCAATTTATGTATTTCTGGGTGAGTGAGTGAATTCAACAGTCGCCTTTTCTGGGTATCAGCAAAAATGATTTCTCCAAGTTTTTCCCGATTGATTTCTCCATTTTCCAAAAACACCTCGTCTCCAAAATGCTGTCGGATTTTCTTCCAGGCTGTGGCTCCAGGGGCAACAACTAGGTAATACAAAAGGGAGAGAACACAATAAACGCTATTCCATATCTTCAGCCTGATATTTCGTCTTTTCGTGTTGCAGAGTTATCTGCTCTTGTGAGCAGGTATTGATTGTTACGTCATTAGTTTGTGTGAGAAAATTACGTTGTTTTCTCAAAAAATGATGACGTTACTCTCACAAACAAACGACGTAACAATCAATACCTGTTCACAAGAGCAGATAACTCTGCAATATGAAAAGACGGAATACTGTTATAACATTGAATTTTCTTGGCCCAGAGGTGCTTCAAACTAAATTATTACAATGAAAACAAATCCCTTCACGAGCATTTCATATGTCTTGAGGGTCATAGACTAAAATCTAGCGTTTCTATACCACCAGTAATCCTTACCAGCCAACCCCTACCAAGGACTTAAGTTGTTCCATACCAATGTGTAATAAACCATACAACACATATTTTAATTTAATTTAATATTCCACAACATGCATGCTTCATTTAATATGCTTTTTCAAGTGTTAGTCATACAGAAACCTTGGATATTCGGCACACGTGCAGTCACATCCATTAACATGTTTCGACCATAAAATAACAATCAAAACAGTATACAGACAACTTGTTTATTTACTCGATAAATTAATGGAAAAATAATTTGGTGATTTGGGCAGGTACATGTATTTGGTACAAATTTATGAGATACATGTATATATATATACATGGCACCCTGGTAAAATACTAGCCACTTCCTACTGGCACGGCTAGTGTGATTTTCTCTTTAGCTCATTCAGTAGAGCATAAGACTAGTAAGGCAGAGGTCCCGGGTTTTACTCCTGTTGGAAGCATAAAAAAAATAATGACCTCTGTTACATTGGCGCCCATATACGGACCCGGGAGATTTGACAAAATACTCAGCGATACTTGCAAAGGAATTTAATCGCTTTGACGCCTAGTAAACTTGGGACAGGTTCTTTCCTGGAGGGGGAGTATGTGACCCTGGTAAAATACTAGCCGCTTCCTACCAGCTCGGCTAGGGAGATTTTCTCTTTAGCTCATTCGGTAGAGCCGAAGATTGGTAAGGGAGATCGAGGTCCCGGGTTAGACTCATGGCAGAGGCATTAAACAAAAATAATGACCTCTGTTACATACTCAGTACAAAACAACGTAAATCCTTAATACGCTGTGTACTACAGGTTGACTGGTACCGAATGGCGATGGTAAGGATGACTGGACTTGCAAAGAGTTTATTAAAGGTGCTAGGGAGGAATGTGCAGAGCTGGACTGGGTCAATTGCCTGCAGACAGGTAGCCCAATTGGTAAGATTTCGGAGGGACCAGAGTTTGAATCGGTCTGGCTGTGCATTTTTCCTCTCCTGTTCCAAGATATTGGTTGTTAGTAATGTGGCTGGTAAGATATATTTGTGTTGAAACTACTGAGGGAGTCTGTGATCAAACTGCATAATGTAAACCACTATATAAACTGTAACGTGGTCGCAGCCTCACTAAAATACAATGTAAGTCATGCGAGGAATTTACACCAGTAAGTTTAAATCTGGTGCCATGCAAATGTGATGAAAACCTATCGAGCTAGTTGTTTTTATATGTAAACCGCCGTGTTCAGGTGCATTCTCAATGTTATTTACGCCCTTGAGTAGAGCTGGGTGATTGAAAGGTAGGGGCGGGGCTTATGGGTATATTAGCCGGTCAAAATAGGGTGTGCATCGCCCCTCAGCCATAGAGACTCGCCCACAGCCTCTCGGGCAGCTACATCCTCTTTTTGTGGTGGAGGCTACATGAGAGCAGACCATTACTTGCATTTGTTAGTTGTACTAGAGAGTGAGCTTTCAATGATGGGGTATGTCTGAATAAGTCTGTTACCCATCACGATCGCTCAATCAAAAGTAACATACCTTACAAGGGCAAGCTAACGTGTTGCTTCGGGTTTGCTACAATGATAAATCATGACGGCACTGTGAGAGCTTGTTAGATTGATATAGGGATCGAGATAAAGAGATCTGTGACTCGGTCAGGATAAATCAAGGGTATATAGCAAGAGGAGTTCTACAGATTGTACAGTATAGGTGTACTAAGGTAGGGGTGCTGAGTTATCATTGTAGTGAGACATCGGCCGTACTGAGCTCTCCAAGCTATCGCCAGTAAGGGTTGTCAAGACCTGTATGTGTGTTGCTGTGGCAGGGAAGTGAGAGATTAGCGAGCGATTGGCCTTGTGTGTATATACGCACACTCTGACGATCAGTAGTAGGAGCGCTCAATTAGATTAGTAAGTAGGACTGTTTTATTGTTTTATTATATATTGAATTTGCATTTTACTGTTACATCGATACCTCTTTGAACATATTCCCTGTATATATTTATTAGTACAAGACGTACATGATCACCAGCAGTGATTGCTCGGGCAGAGCTAGATTTTAAAACTTGTCTGTAGATACAACCCAGTAGGGCTTAGGTAATAATCCTGTGGCGGATCAAGAGGGTTTTTTTGGGGCTTCAGGGGGAAAAAAACTGAGAATTTTCCTTAAAAATCATGTATTTTCACCGTTTTCCCAACTTGAAACCCCCCACCAGAGAGGTCTCTGGATCTGCCATAATAATAATACTCAGTGGAATCTCCGATGTGACTCGGGTACGAACCCACAGGCATTTGTTTCTGTCTATAAAAATAGTCATGAGAAAAAGACATTGTATGAGTAAGGTGTGGGTTTTTTCTCATGCGAAACAACCCGGATCCGTACTCAACGACACTCAAACAAAAGTTACTGTCATTTACCTTCCCGGGCGAGTTTGTCTGCATCAATAACTTTACAACCAAGATCAGACAAGGTTTTGGAAACGGAAGATTTGCCGGAGGCTATGCCGCCGGTAAGACCAACAAGGAACATGATGTAAGGATCCGGACCATCCACAGCAAACCGAAACCGGAACAAGGTTGTACTAAAACCGAGAATTCAGCATTATCATAATAATCGAATCATTTAAATTTTAAATTTAAAGAAATAATGCTCGATAATTCAACCTTAAGTTATAAATAAGAAAACATTTTTTTTTATTTTCAACGCTATTTAAGAGCAGGGTTGTTAGTTGAATAGGTTTTGAATATAATAGTCTGGGACATCACTTTAGTAAAGTAAAACACTGATGTCATCTCCACAAGATGGCGGCCCCCATGAATGTTCCACAGCATCACGTCCGAGGGGAATATTGTACCACGCGTTCGACCTATAGGGAGGGGAGATACCCAAAAGCAGTGAAAGTAATTTGATTTCCCAAGTATTCAAGGGCCGATTTACTGACAATTCAATAACGTGTTGCAGACACGATAAAATAAATGGTCATATCGCCCTAAATCCAGTTCGCCTAGGCCAGGGTGGTTTTGCCTAAATATTTATTACAAAAAAACGTTCACAGAAGAATGTTTAAACCATACACATCTGAAAAGGCCAAAACAAATTTCGCCCTAAAATACATTTACGGCAAACAAACTTAGGGCGCCGCTAACCGAATTTAGGGCGAAATGACCTGACTACATTCAGCAAGAAAAATCACCCTTTTAAGCAATTAAACAATGATAAAAGTTTAACACAAGGCTCTTTTGACAAGCGCCACAGTCGTCATATATAACCCACATAAAAATGTATATGGTACCAGTACTGGCCTCTTGTATTATTGGAGTACCATTTCAGCAGAGAAATTGTGTTTCAAAACTTTTCAAACAAACATCATTTAATTTTAGTCTTGAATTGCCTGTAAAGGCTGCAGCTCTGTAAATATGATCAATTGAAATGTAGTAGAATTTCCACTGACATGTTATATATATATTATTTGAAAGTCACTTACATAAACATTATATGTACATGCATAATTGTGCACTGTATCTCAGATATTTTTGGATCCTTCATTTCCAGGTGTACACCATTAACCTTGAATCAAGCTACCTTTTGGTGCAGGGCGTATCAGCTGTTGGAGCCACACAGGAGCTTGTCAAGTTATTTGCTCTTTATGGTGCAGTGGCAGAGTACAGAACTCTAGATGAATATCCGACAGCAGACCAATTTACTGATGTATTCCTGATTAAATTTGAGAAAATCCAAGCAGCCAGGTACAGTTGTGAAGGAAGTAAATCAAATTGAGGTGGAACAGAAATTTCAGTGTGTATGATTGTTGGAATGAGTGGGGAAGGGACAGCATTCTGTCTTAATAAGATTGACCGAGTAATCATATGATCATGAGTTGATGCAGGAATTTTGAAAGGGGCAAGATGTACGTCTTTGCATACCCTATCACCAGAAGCATTTTAGTTATATTTTTTATGATTTATTTTTGATTTCTAATGTTCAAAAACTGTCCATAGGAAACAGTGAAATAAAAACATATTCAATTATATGATAAAGAAAGCCTTGTCAAGGGAGACATTATATAATGTGTGTATATTTTAAAACAAAATTTTGATGCCCCGAACTTTTTGACCCCTGTCCCATGAAAAATGTGATATATACCTATTTGCATCCTCAATACTCCAGGGGTTACGCTCACTTACGCTCTCTGTTCCCCTTGAATAAATCATATCAAAATTGAAAGCACACCGCTACCTTTTTTTTTTTGGTTTCAGGTAAAAAAACAAATGACCAATCGCTATAGGCTGATACATGTACCTGTCCTTTTAAGATTACAAATCCTGTAATTTTGGGGGTTACGTGAGGTTCATTTGATGTTCATAAGAGGATCAAACTAATCTCCTTCGTCTCATCCACATCCTTCAATTTTATCATGACATATATTCAAAGGGTGCAGAGAGCATAATGGAGTGTATACCCCTGGAGTATCAAGGATGACCGTTTTAAGTGTTTTGAGGATATGGTTAAAGACATTATTTTTTCTACATTTTCTTTTTTGACTCTTTTAGTTATTTTACCATATACCGTATGTAAATGACTTTTAATATCAATATTAGAATTCTCTTCACCAATGCATGACATTATTGAATTGGGATTTTATGACCCGGTATGTTTTTTTATTAGTAAGTGTTCGGATTCTCAATCTTTAATAGTGAACTAAGTGAGGCAATTTATTTTTCTGGTTTTGTGAAATTAATGGATTGGTGTACAAATGCCTGAAATGGGGAAAAAATGAAAGAGTGAGGACTTTGACATTTAACTGCTTTACTGTATACTGGTCCCAAGTGTTTGGAGCACAAACATACTTGTGGCCTGCCCCTCCACTTCCAGAAGTCACAGAAAATTTTGTTAATAGAGATTAACATGAAATAACGCTTCTATATTCAACTTACAAAAAAACATCATCATTTGTATTTGTCTGAAAATTGATGAAAAGGTTCTATTTCAAAACAAAAAGGCTTAACTTTAAAAAATAGTTGGTATTACACGTACTAGATTTATGAAATAATTGCTACTGACTTTAATCGTTAGTAATAATTATTATTATTTGTTAATATATACTAATTAATATGATTGTTTAATGTCTTTCAGAATTGCCCGGAGAAAGTTGGATGATTGGTCATTTTTTAGTGGTATTTTGCATGTTAGTTACGCACCAGAGTATGAAAGTGTAGAAGAAACTCGTCAGAAACTTCAGGATCGGCGAAAATCCATCGCTGCAAGGATCAGGAAAAATGGTAAAACTTAATCAATTTCAACATGTACCCATAACGTTCTTGTCTGATCATTTTGTGAAATTATATAATTAACTGCTTGAGATCCCTATAAGACTTTATTTCATTTTCTTATATAAACCTACCAATCATAGAACAGGTATAACTATCATCATGTTTTAAACACCTGTTTTGAAACTATTGTTTTTCAGAGGCTGAGATTGGCAAATCCAGAGGTAGCAACAGGATGGCTAGTCAGTCACAGTCTGCTATATCAGGTCAGAGTTCAAGTTCTCAGGGTCAGAGGTCAAACAGTCAGTGGTCTGGTGATAAAGGTCAATTTCAGATGAAGTCATTCCAGGCTAGTAAGTCTTCAAATTTGCCTAGTCACATTGACAAACATAATAGAACTAGAGCTAGAGAGACACAAAGGCCTGCTGACAGCATTCCTCAGTCTGATACCCGTGTACCACCATTACCATGTACAACAGGTGCTCCGCCATTGGAGGAGGAGAAACAGATTTGGATCCCGCCTCCACCTAAAGAGGTGCCTAACAGAGAAGGAATTTCTCATCATTCAGCATCGAGTTATGAGTTTGCAAGAGTTAGGACAGCTCACTCATTGTACCCACCCAATTATGATGCTAGGATTTCTACAAAATCTGACAACACACAAAGTTATAATCAGAATGCATACACACAACAAAGGGAAGAAAACCCAGCCAGAATGTCCAAGAGCATTCCTCAAACTAATGGTGATTTCAAAGAAATGTTTATGAAAAGAAATTTATCAAAGGGAGATAAATCAGACATAAATTTGAAACAAGAAGCTTCCAAGAATCATGACTCTGATCAGGAAGCAAAAATAAGTTCTAAAGTTAAAATGCAGGCTGGTGTTATTGTCCGAACATTCAAGCCTCAGACGGCACCCCCAAAGTTTGTACCACGACAGATGATGAAATTAACAAAGAAAAGTGTGAATAATTCAGTTAATACATCAAAGGATGTGGTCAACAAAGAGTTGCGACAGAATGCTTTAAGACTTGGAGAAATTCAGGGACCCGTGGCTCGGGGTCAGGATGGTGTACAGGAACCAAGAAAACCGACAGAAACAGAGGAGTCGGTGGAGAAAACAAGGATCCAGATCAGAAAACGGGTCTCGGAGGTAGGTCTTTTACTGGACTAATACAGATACATTCTTGTGTTACATTTTATATATACAATTTTATGTATTCTGGTTCATTTGACAATCAGTTTGAACAAATTGAACAGGAATGTTTTGAGCTTTTTTTTATTGTTTTAAAGCTCAACAGTTAACGATCTAAAAAAAATATCTGAAAAGAAATGTATCAAAGGGAGTTAAACATCTTCGGGGTTGGATCAGTCAGTGTAAGCACCCTGTATCGGGACCCTGGACAGGTACTGCTCTCCCTGGCTGATCCAACGAAACTCGTGAATTATCCTTTACTTATTGCTGCTGTTTTAATACAGTACAGAGAATTTTCAGTGTCTTGCACTTAGCCATAGAAATCAAATGTTTTATCAGAAATCATATAACAAACCATAGAAATCAAATGTTTTATCAGAAATCGTATAACAAACATGCATTGGTTAATTGGTTTTCTTCTTTGTCCTACAATGATCAGTATTATGAAATTGATGCTGTACAGATGTTAGTATTATTTTAACAAGTGTTTTTTTCTTTTTACAGATTACTACTGAAGAGAAAAGCATTGCAAAGAAAGCCAAATCCAGCTAACAGTACCTGGTCCTTGTTACATCATATTATAAGCAAGTCCAGCTAACTATTTGCTAATTCAAGCACTTGTTTTAAATTCTATTTATTTATTTGAACATTAATAAAATGTCTTTGAAAAATATTTCTGGTTTTTAGGTACTTCCCTGTTTTGTTGTAGGGGTAATATTGGTTAGTTGAAGTATCAAACAGTATAAAATTGTCTTGTTGCATGCTTATCTAGGTGAACTGTTTAAAAAATGCTCCAATTCTGAAGTCATGAAGACATGCACTCAAAAAATACTAAGAACATATTTGTTCTAGTTGTTACCTCCCTTTGCCCATGTTTTTTGTTCATCTGCAGTCCAAACATACTCTTTATGCGTTTTGGTTGCTATGAATCAAATAAAGTTAAACATTATAAACAGATTATGATATATGAGACAACCTTTTTGCATTTTGATACAAAATACTGTATTGATGGGTTGTAAACTGTGCCTAACCTTACCAGAGATTTTGATATATAATGAATTTTTCACCAATACTACAGAGGTTTTTTGTGGGGTTCTATTACCAATTACCGAAATTAACAGAAAATTAATTTCTCTTTGCTGTTACACCATATGTCATTGCAAGGGGACACAGCATTCACAAGTAAACAAATCCTGCAAAACGGAGCAAAAACAATAAAGAGTTCTTTAATACAATCAGTAATAATTGTCACTGATAGATGATATCAATGGAAAAGATCACAACATCTTTGATACTGAAATATGTAACTCTAGAATACATCTTGAAGTTAATAACAATATATTAATGTTTTTTTCAAATAATCGTATCATTTGCTGTTTAATCTGGTAATCATACAATGATACCCAGGTATTCCAACAGGAAACATTTAGATGACAAAGAAGTCGAGATCACCATTATTGTTAACAATGGATAGCTCGCCTTACCTTTTATTTATATTTTGAAATACATGTATGTCAAATACATTACAGTATATGAATGAGTTCAATGAATATTACATGTACACCTAAGTCAGTAAGAACAGGTAAATCTTGGTAAAGAGATTCTGTACCCTTACTGGACGGTGTGACTGTTTAATGTATTCACTCTCGAATCCCTTGATCCAGTGATCGTGTAAATCATCTAGGTAGTACCCCATCATCAATGGAAAACAGTGCATTAGTAGGCGATGGCTGTGTATACTCCATTTGTACTTTTGATACAATAAAAAAATATTTGAATTGAAATCAAAGAAAAAAGATTGGTTACAGCATATATATCTACACATTATACATGTGAGTGTATGTATTTCACTTTTGGCCCGTTCTCTCTGTCTGGAGGGAGTTGGTGCAGCCTCTTTTGCTTATAAGATATTTAGTCCCTTTGACCAAGATTAAAATCACTTCAGCTATATACTGAACACAAAGGCATTGAATATTTACCCATATTTCGCTATCAAGGCCCTGTTCCTACGGGGAGATGGGACACATGGTTTGTTTTAAATACACCTTGGAGTCCTTTCAGGGGTGTTGCACACTAAATAAAGGTAAAATTTATTTACCCATAATAAAGGATCCGGAGTTGAATGTTAAAGACATACTTCAATTTCACCTAGTGTTTCTTGACCTCTCTGCCCCATGAGTGTGTTTGTGTGGTCGGGGTGGGGGGAACCCTCTGTTGTACAACCGTGAGAATCCCTAAAATCGTACTGAGGGAGTGGGTTTTAAAAGATGAACCTGCATCTCCCGACTTGGCACCACATTGGTTTATACAATGTTGAAACCCATTGATCCAATTATGATTCAGATAATATCGGGTTTAAGTCCATTAGTCGTACTGATGAAAGAGTAGCATTTCAAAGGTGTACCTTTATGTCCATTGTTCAACAGTTGAACAACCCTCCTCTTTGCACCATGGGAGTTGCACCTTATTTTACACAAAATTTAGTCTCCTTAGCCCAAGGATGCTTCTGACAAAAGTGAGTCAAAATCACTTCAGCCGTTCTGGACAAGCTGTATTTTAAATTTCAAATATTCCAACTGACGCCGTTCCACGGCATATTTTCACTTGGCACAATGGTCAGGTGAACTTAAAAATCTGTTTCAGCTTAACAGTCTACGAAATGGAAGGACAACTTCAATTCATTTTATTACTCTTAACATTACAGCCATTCAATTTGGGGGGGGAATATACAGCAGAACTTACAAAGGTACATGTAAGCAGGGACGTATAGTGACTCTATATACTGTCCCTGATGTAAGTGATTCCCCAGAGTATCACGATCGAGCGGTTTCTTGAAGAATTCCCTTGGCCTCGAATTTATATCATACTTGGTTACAAATTTTACTGATTGTGTTACCATTTTCTGGAGATTGGTTGTTTGGAGCTCATTTTGGTGGACGACTAAAGTCAGGAGAAGAAACCCTCGTTGGTTGTGGTGGTACCTGATTCAGATGGGTCTTCATGATCACAATACTGGAAAAGGCCGAAAATAGGAATTTACAACGACACGGACATAAAAGAAACTCGCCTATTTAAAGGTGGGCAATTTTAGTATTTTAGAGAACGGTATCTATAGAAATGCTACCAAACATGTACCAGCCACAGGTACTAGCCTCGTCTGTCACTACACCTATATATGATATAATCCTGTGTAGCAACAGACTGAACACGAGGGTCGTTGCGATGCATTGCACTTCTCCTTGTGTCACAGAAAACATTTTTACCGTTAAGAAACGTTTTAAGGTAGACATATTGACGAGAGTTATATACGTAACAACACCGGAAGACTGGACAAAGTTTATTAGATGACTTGAGTTATTTCTATCTCCACAACACAGAAAGCATTCAAGATTGTGTGTTCAAGGCACGGTTTGTTTGACTACCCCCATTATAAACAACAGCAGGCCGGATTATAGACTGATAGAAAACGCATACTGTAGTTATGAGATTTTTGAAAACGAGCCGCAGAATAACTGACATAGGAACTGAGTTTCTGGCTGTTGGTAGTATCTCCGACGTTAGAGTCGAGAAAATATAATCAATGGTCACTCAGACAATTTCCGAGGAGTCCGGTCTCAAAACGTTAATTTCTTCAGCTGCTGAAATTCATGATTTCATTAAGAGAGGTGACCCTCATTGCCAGGTTGTACACAGGACCAGTTCATATACATCAGTTATAGTTTTAGAGAGAAGAACGTCAAATTCTCGAAAAGAAAATTGCAATTACTCACTATATCACTCAAATCAAATCGTGGTTAAACGAAGCTTGCACATTACATGACAGGTATTTACATAGCACTGGCCAACATGAAAAGATCTAGACCGCCCCACCGATACATCGACAGGCATTTCGTATCTGTTTATTTAGAGCACAATTAGTTTCAAGGGACTTGGCCATGGTCGGAAGCCATTCAGAGCGAACATCAACGTATTGGAACATTAGCAGTTATGAATTTAGTACGACATTTGTTTACGTTTTACATATTCTTTGATGAATCAAAAAGTTTCGGTTCAATATTAATGCAATAACACAATAGTTTTCCAGTATAATAACAGCTAGTGAGGGGGTTTCAAAATATCCAACCTTGTTTGATAGCCACTGGTGCATAGGGATCTAACATTTGGTAACAATATTTAGATGAGAGCTTGTATCGGAAATGCGAAATTGTCGATAACAAGTGAAATTGTCGCCAAATCTTCATGCTTCGGGTCGACAATATACACTTGAAATCTTCCTAATTATAGTTTTCAGACAGTCGTGTGACTTCAGAGTTATGAATTATACAGGTGAAAGTGGGTATGCATAGTGATTGGATTGGTCGGTGAGAAGTAAGGTGCACGAGATTTACGTGTGGCAGGGCGGATGTACAGGCATTATAGCCTGAGACAGCACAGACTACGGTAGATGTTAACATTTTTATTTTTTTTTGTTTGTTTTTTAATATTTTACAACTTTTGTTTAGTAAAACAAATAAGCTAATATCAGTATTGAAATGGTTTTCCTAGATGATCTAGATATACATCATAAGGGTTTTCCAGAGCTTTTGTGACTTATTTAAAAGTTTTATCTTTGATTTTTAACCCTGGATGTCAGGGGAGGGGGTTACCTGTAATGTAATACATGTATCCAGAGGACATGGAGGAGTGAGGATTTGAAATAATTTGTACACAATTGTCACAAGTGTTTACAAAATAGCATGCATACTGAATAAACGACTGCTCTATCGTCTCGGAACAGGCTATCGGTATATATGTGTTGTTAACGTTGATTTGGAGGGAGTATTATCATGGATGAATAGGACAGACGGGATGGTTGCGTAAGCATACCCTTCCATCTTCCCGAAAGTTCTTGGACGCATGAAACAATATCTATGTCGGTTAATTCATATAGAGTTGTTTAATCTATTGGAATGGCTAGAAAAGTGTACCAAAATATTGAATTAGGAAGGTTTTAAGTTCATCTGAAAAGGTCTACATATGCAGGATAGGTCAGAGCAATAGGGTAACGAGGGATTTTGTTACCGCCTCTTCAGAACAACATGAACTCGACTCCAAGAGGACCATGGTTATAAACTGTACAAATGCATATATGTAATTACAGATAGATGGGTCAGATGTAACTACCGTAAGCTGTTTCTGGGGTAAATAAACCTCACAAACTTGCAATTGCCATTTGTTCACTTGGTCACACTCTGCCTCCCACCATCGTGAGTCAAAAAGCGACATAAACATAATATATAAATATTACAGGATATATAAATATTACACTTGGTTTGGCCAGAGACGTATAATACGTATTATACGTCTCTGGTTTGGCCACTTAAACGGCTACCAGGAAACGAACGTTCCTGTGGTGACCGTAGCTGGCGATCCTCCAGAGGGGTGGTGACACGTGTTCTGCCAGATCTAGGACGCTCTAGATCTGATGTCGACCCGGTGTGGTTAAAAGCGTCGCTACCGTCAACTGATCGTCATCACAGATCCAGGAGACGCTTACCTTTCCGGAACACCTGGTCTTACCGTCCTTGTACTTTTTTCTAGAATCTCCTTGCAAAACTTTCCTTTGTTCATAATTTGCCCTGGTTTATGGCAATGTAGACTGCCGATCATGATCAAGACAAAATAAACTAGCCTGTGGAGAC